TCTACTACATAAAACGTTGCATACATATAATAAGCCAGTGATCCAATAAAAAACGGCAGATTCCAGGCGTCCTTTGGTCAGCTCTGCCTCAGTATGATGGTCAATGGCGGGTTCGGCAGCTTCTCCTCTGATTTGGGTTCGATTGCTGAAAGGAGGTGCGTGGTTGGGTGTTGGGTGCGGCCCTGGCTGCTCGGCTCGTCTGAGTCGCGGCGGCCGGGGGTTGAGGTGGATAAGTTCTTGCTCTCGGGTCCCTATTCCGTTGGTGCTGTGGCTTTGGGATGTCTGCATGCCGAACCTAGGCCAATGGTGTTGGCAGGGTCTCGGGTAGCTGGTGTGGGGGACTGGTTGATACTCTTCTGGCTATGGTCGACTTCATCCTTGGAGTGGTTCGATGTTTGGGACTCGTCCTTTGCTAGGCATTAGACAGTGGTTGGAGTGGTGTTCTGGATTTTGGGTCAAGCTGTGGGATGGTTAGTCCTTATTTCGTTGGTGCCTTGTACTGGGTTTAGCTTTCCCGTTAGGAAAGGGCCTTGTTTGCTGGCAGATTATGTCCCTCTATCTTAGTTTGTTCTCATTGTGTTCGTGTTCGAGTTGTTTAGGTTCGTGTTTTTGGTTTGGGCCATTTGGCCTCAATGCGCTCGAGTGTCAACTTATTATCCTGTTGGGATCGGACACTCGGGTATTATTCTGGTAGAATCTTTTTTTAGTAGTTTCAGTTTTTTGTTTGTGTAGTATGTCTATAGTTGCGAGTATTGTTATTCTAGCTTTGCTAGTGTCGGGATTCTAGGCGGTCTTCTGACCTGTCCTCACTTTTTCAGCTATTGGTTGTTCCGTTCAGCTAGAGGCTGCTTGTATTCACATATTTGTGCATTTTAATTTATAATAATATCTATCATTTTGAAAAAATATATATATTTTTAATGGCAAAACTGCAATAACTATTAAGTATCTCATGAATTATAATCATAATTAAATATCTTTATAAAATAGGATTCTAACAAAAACAAAACTCTCTCAATTTAAAACCTAAACAAAACAAATGTATATATGTCAATAAAATATTAATTGATCAGTGAAGGAAAAAATAATAACAGAGATACAAATTATTTCAATAAGATTGAATTGCAGTAAATATATTCTTAAATATTATGTGAAATAATAAACAGGTAGAAAAGTGCTATCCTCGATTTCCCAACATACAATATTGAATATAAAATATTACAAGTAAAATAATAAATGCCAACGTTGTAGGCTTTACGAATAACACAAAGGATATAAGTGTCATCCATCGAGCTTGATCTTAGGTATACGAGAATTACTCAGTCAGGACTGACAGGTTACGATTTCGCATATCTTTCGAGCAGCGAATTTCGCAGCGGATTACTTGGCGTCTCAGGCAGCCTCAGTCTCTCTCGGTCTTTATCGTCTTTTAATTCCACCATCTGGGGTCATTCCGTGGCTAGAGTTCGACGCTAGAGGTGTCTCTTACCCACGAAACGTCTGTCGCTAGCGCCTTTTGGCACTAACCGCCTGGTGCAAAAAAAAAAAACAAAAAAACAAAAAAACAAAACAAAACAAAACAAATTTTATTTTTGTTATACTATGAGTTTATAAATTATGTACGACATAGTTTAGCTAATAGCACTGTCTAAATTCGGGATAGGCGGCCGCTTCCGATTTACACAAATCGGCGGAAAAAATCGGCTAGGCAGCGCCTAGGCTGCCCTAAGCGCTCCTAAGCGGACTAGGCATCCAGGCGGTTAGGCGGTGCCTAGGCGGGCATAGGCAGACCTAGGCGCTCCTAGGCGGCTAGACGACAATTTTCCAATTTTTTTTTTAATTTTTTTATATACTAATTACATTATTTCGTCTCATATTTTCTTTAAAATATATTAATATTATTATTTGGACATAGGTGTGTGGACTTATTATAAACTGAGATAGTTTTATGTTGTAGGTAGTTAAAATAAATAGAAAAATAAGGTACTTAACATTGATTTCTAGGCCCCGCCTAGGCGCTCTAGGCGCTAGACGCTGGTCGAGCGCCTAGCGAGTTTTAGAACACTGGTTAAAAGTGTCTTTCATTAAAGTAAAGTTTAAAAACTATTTTAAATGATATTTTAATCAAAATAATTAATTTATAAAAAAACAACAAAAACTTATTAACCGAAATATAATAATAAAAACTACTTTATAATAAATAACGTTTAAAAACATTAAATGGGAAAACATATTGCCAAATAAATGAATGATGATTGCTTAAAATATCGTCTATATTTGATGTATTTATAACAGTAATATTATAAATACAACTATTAGTAAAAAGGATAAAAATATAATTTATAGTAAATTTATAAGTATGAATAATAGCAAATAAAATTCTGCTAAACAAAAATAATTGAACGTATAAGTGAAGATAATATGAAAAATATTTAAAAAACTTTGCTTCCATATATCAATTAAATTATAATTGTATTAACCAGTCAATAAAAATAGTAACAAAGAATTATCTTGTTTAATAAGATAAAGAAGACAAAATGTCAACTGTCACGTGCAATTTTCCTGTAAAAGATTTCAATTTTGATTTTACTGTATATATATTCCAATCTTCCTCAAAACAAATTTTTTTTTTTGAATAAAAATGACTTATAGATAATGAAGGTTTGTCAACTCAAATTTTTATGCATTCTCTTTCACCATGACTTTTAAATATAATATTTTGAAATTTGTTTTTCAACCTTTAATAGATTTGACACAATTCATTATGCTTTATACTTTTTTGTTTGATCGTTTAAAATAAATAAATAAAATTAAATAGATCATAAAATTTAAAATTATAATAAAATATAAATTATGTACATCTCACATATACTATAATAATGCACTTTACTAGTTTATACAATGTTATCAATAATTGGAGAAAGTGGAACACAGCAACATTTTCTAACCTTTTTTTTTTTTTTTGGTTTTGGGTTGAACATGCTCTACATTCATGAATCCATCAACCTTAATAATTCTAAAATCGTCATTTGTTAAGCAGCCAGACCAATAGGGATAAAATTATGCCTTAAAGTCAATGAAAACATTGTTGTCTATTGACAGCTAACTCTAACTCACACACATCATAAATAAATAAATAAATAAATAAATAAGAAAAAGAAGAAGAAAAAAATTAACATACAAAATCAATAGAAATGCAGAAAAGACTAACATATCATATATAACTAAAAATATAATTTATATTAATTTTGCTCAACGCAATATTTGACCATAATTAATGTTTTGTAATTTTTATGATAGAAGTAATATAATTGGATAAAAGTGACTTGTAATAATATTTAAATTTAAGTAAAATAAATTACTAAGGTTTAGTTGGAGCCCACCAAGGCTTTGCTGGGTCCTCTCCTTTTTCAGTAAACACCTACATGTGCACTCCTTTCTCTATAAATACACTTTTCTATACCTAGCTAACACCAAGTGATCGCTCAAAAAAATTTAAAACTTGCTTGTGATTTTACAAGATATATATAGTAATTTAGTGATGGCGAGGATTGCGGTGGGTACGGTACGGGAGGGCTACCAGCCGGACTGCCTTCATGCCCTAGTCGTCGAGTTCATCTCCACCTTCCTCTTCGTGTTCGCCGGTGTTGGTGCCGCCATGGCCTCCGGTCACTAACTTTCCATGCATTATAATTTTAGCTTGTCATTTATATATATATATATGAGTTGGTTATTATAAATATCTCACAAATTATATACGAACATCATGCATGCACTACACCACATAATTAAATGAAAACAATTATATGTAAATCTTGAATATAATGCTATGCTAGACATACTTATATGGAGAATATATGTAAATTAAATGTGTACAGTTTTCGTAATATAATTCAACTAAAATGATCAACTAAATTTATAATTTTTGAATAAAGAGAGTATCAAATTGTGGTGGATTTAAAAATGTAGATATCATCTTGGATTTAATCCTTAATTTGTGGATATGCAGATAAGCTGAATGGGAATCCACTAGTGGGCTTATTCTTTGTGGCGATGGCCCATGCCCTGGTGGTGGCCGTCATGATCTCCGCCGGTTTCCGCATTTCCGGCGGCCACCTCAACCCGGCCGTCACCTTAGGCCTATGTGCCGGCGGACACATCACCGTCGTCAGATCATTACTTTATTGGATAGATCAATTGCTAGCTTCGGTGGCAGCATGTGCTTTGCTCAATTATGTCACTGGTGGCCTAGTAAGTCTATATAATATATATTCATATTTTATTTTTTTTATAATTAATATTCAAAAGAAAAGGCAATATTAGCTGTATTATTTGTTTACTCAATTTTTTATTGCTAAAGAATTCCTTAAAATGGAAAATAAGAAAAGGAATAAATTATTTTAAAACGGGAAAAAGTAGAGTAATAATTAACGGTCAGGATCGATTGTATTGTGATGATCTTGTGCAGACAACACCAATACACTCACTTGCAAGTGGAGTGGGGCCCATGCAAGGGTTGATTATGGAGATTGTTTTGACATTTTCCCTGCTCTTCACTGTCTACGCCACTATTGTGGACCCCAAGAAGGGAAATCTTGACGGGCTGGGCCCACTTCTCACTGGCCTTGTTGTTGGGGCCAACATCATGGCTGGTGGGCCCTTTTCCGGAGCGTCGATGAACCCAGCCAGATCATTTGGGCCGGCGCTGGTCAGCGGTGATTGGACTGACCATTGGATTTACTGGGTTGGGCCGCTTATCGGTGGTGGGCTAGCTGGCTACATCTATGAGAACTTCTTTATTGTTAGGTCTCACGTTCCACTCTCTGGAGAGGAAACTTTTTAATTCACAACTTGCATGTGTTGCTTCATTGTCAATTTGCTTTCTTTTATTTATCTCTTTCTCGTTCTTATGTAATGTATTCTAACGACTTGCATTAATCTGGTCAACTTGTATCACCGAATAATTATTCATTCCTTTCAACAAACATCTTACAAAATTCCTTTCTACCTTCTATAACTTTACATTTCTCAGTTTATAACATATATACTGATATAGATACAATTAGACATCCTAAACCGCTCGATCTACCCATATAAACCGACCCATTGCATGTGCTAAGTTACCCAGATGTGAACTACCGAAAACCCGTAACAAGACGTAGCCTATCGACTTTACTTAAAGCACGACCCAGAAAACATGAGTTAAGAGCAACTCTAACGTCCGCTTTTGATAAGGTTTATAAACCTTATGCAGCTAGACTTGTCCAAAGACCAACCCGATTTACGACCCGACTCGGCCCCGCTATACCTAAGGACCAGTTCAAATAAATCGGCCCACCCTGCAGCTCACCGCCGGTTAATAATAAAAAAATAGAATAAAATCTCCCGTCTTCTGGCCCGGAACCGACAGGAAAAAAAAAAATGAAAACTTGGAACCGACCCTTAAGGGCTAAGGGTCTGATTAAAAAACCGGTAAATCTGGGCCAGGTCGACCCTTGGCGATGTCTGACTAAAGAAAAGGAATGAGAGGTTTAAATTTTTTAAACAGCGCTGTAATTGGGACGTCGGGTTGTAAATTTTGTGGGCCCCTTTCAATACACCAAACAATTATATATTCGCCATGTCATTTTTTATCCTTTTTACTTTTTAGTTTAAATTATATATTAAATTATGTTTGAGTGATTTTTTAATTTATGAATCTGAATTAATTTTTAATATTAAAAAACTTAAAATTAAATATTGTAAATCTTATTTTAAACCTACTCATGTCTAATTATTGTTAAAAAATTGATTGTTCACTAAAAAATTAATTTAGCTATTTATTTTGATAAATTCTTATAAATTTATTTCCTAAAATATTAATTTTCACTATTGCAAATTTTAGTGTTAATTTTTTTTTTTATTTTAAGTGTACATAAAATATATTTATGATGATATATACTAAATGTGTCATTGTAAAAAATAGAGAGTAAAGTTTTTATTAAATACGAATTAAATTGATATATAATTAAAGTAAGTGGGAAACATGCGTGATTGTAGAGGATTTCCCCCCGATACGACATAGGTAACATACCGACAGATAGGAATAGGGACCTCCTTCTCCAGGAATATTTCAATTAGAAGAAAGATTGTGAGGTTTATCTTGAGGTATTTTTGAAGAAGAACGAACTTCAACAAACATTGCTCGTTAAAAAAAAAAAGTAAAACGGGGTTGTTTTGGTTTTAAAAAAATTACTCGACAACCCGGAAAAAATGAAAGCAATTATTTGAAATAAGAACAAGTTGCAATTGTTGTTGAAAAGGATAACTGAGTCACTACAAAAAAATAGAGCTCTAGTGAAAAAATTTTTTTGCCATTATATTGTCGCTATATCTACTGTCCGTATATCTACAATTGTTGTCACTATATCTACAATTGTTGTCAGTATATCTACAACAATTGTAGATATAGTGACAACGATTGTAGATATAGTGACAGTAGATATAGTGACAACAATTGTAGATATAGTGACAAAAAAAATCTTCACTAAAACTCTATTTTCTTGTAGTGAGTATGAGGTATTAAACGCGTAATATTATTATTTGAAATAAGAACGAGTTACAATTATTTCATTTACTAATAATTTTAAATATGAAATTGTAATATTAAAATTTTTGTCAATACATTTTTTTTTTTCCTTTTTCAAATGCTTAATATATATTTTTTATATTCTAATTACACTTTTAATAATTCAGAAGATAAAAGTTTATTTTTCTATTACTTCTTAATTTTTATATTATTTATTTATTTAAATAATAAATTTTAGGACAATATGTGTTATACTTCAAAATAAAAAGCTATTGGACTATGTAGGAGTGTGTGTTTGTCATGCATTTATCTTATCATGATTCCACGATTTTAAATCCTCCCTATATATAATTCCAGAATGCGCTGAGCCTACGTGGCTGCTTCTGGTGCTTTGTAATCCTACTTGGCGAAGAATCATGCTTCGTAATTAGGTTTGGACAAATAATATTAATACATTAATAAATAATAATTTAGGTTTGGACATTCCATAAATATTATTTAGCTAACTTAGGTATTTTAATATCAATTGTACTAATATAACACCTTTAATTTTTTGTATTTTACATAGTGAGGCACTCAGTGACTAATGTATCCCTGACTTTTGATTTGTTTCTTCCAATTAGCTATTCAATTGTAAATGTACTTTATTAGTTGATAACTTTTGTATTTCTTATCGGTTTTGCATATATAATATATCAAATTAATCATCTTTTGATGATCTTCGATTTGACATCCATATTGTATATATGAAATAAATAAATTATATTTATCTTTATAATAATAAAAAATATTAATATTTATTAAAATTCATTAGAATTAAAATTATTTCTCAATTGATATATTTATATTTAATGTAGTTATTTGTTGTAAGTTAAAAAAATTATTACAGTATAACACATGTAAGTCGCAGAAATAAAATGTGTCATACTAACTATATAATAATATATAATATTTTTATAAAAGGTATTTAGATTTTCAACTATTTTTCTCATTAATTTTTTATTTTAAGAAAAAAATTAGCACACACCCGTGTAATACACGGGCGTTGTACTAGTTTTCACTATTGCAAATTTTAGTGTTATATTATTGCATCTATCTTATCATGATAGCATGTTATCTTCAATTGTCCACAAGTATGCGAATTCTCGGCTACAAAACCATGGGTAGCGGTAAAACATACATCAATTTGGTGTAGAAAAGGTAATGGATAGAAACCCAAATTTATCTAATTTCAATATGACTAACTCTTCTGAGGACGATAGTCCGTCTTTAGCAAATTCTCATTATCATTGGAGTATATATACCTCTCGTTTTTTTGTCAATTTCTTACAATGCAATTGCAATCCCAATTTCAATTTGCCATATCAACTAATTTCCTCATTTCCCATATCCCAAACATCAGAAAATTATGTCTACCCTCAGAAACAAACTGTGATGAACATGAATCAGACTCAGTGTATGTGGTCAATAGCATCCTAGTATGAAATCCCAAATTCACTTGGCATGCCTTTTTAACATGGTAATTTCATACCAACAACTATGAGTAATGAACCTACTGGCTCACAAGATCCCCTAAGAGCTACCACGGGGCCGGAGGTTGAAGGTTCTGATAATATTAGTCTTAATAAAGAGACATAAGATAATAAGGAACGTGAGCCAAAAAGACGTGAGAAAGCGTCGGCAACCAATAATAACTCCTAAGTCTTTCATATCAAACTACTTAGACAACCACAAATTTACGTCTAATAACTCCTTATTGTTTCCAATAAGAAGTATGTCATCTACGTAAAGCACAAGAAACACCACCACGCTCTCACTGATTTTCTAGTACACATAGTGTTCTTCCAGACATTGAGTAAACCCGTACGACTGGATCACCTCATTGAACCGAATGTTCCAAGATCTTGAAGCTTGCTTCAGTCCACAAATAGACCGATTAAGCTTACACACTAGATGCTCATGTCCCTTAGTAATGAATCCCTCTGGTTTCTGCATATAGATGTCTTCCAGAAGGTTCCCGTTAAGGAAAGTCGGCTTGACATCCATTTGCCAGACCTCATAATCCATATAAGCGGCTATAGCCAACAGAATCCGAATAGACTTAAGCATAACTACTGGCGAAAAGGTCTCATCATAATCTATACTCGCTTTCTGGGTATAACCTTTCGCAACAAGCCTAGCTTTCAAGGTTTCCACCTTCCCATCCGATCCTCTCTTTCTCTTATAGACCCACTTGCATCCAATGGGTATCGAGTGATTCTACAAGATCTCGGACCTGATTGGAGTCCATTTAACCATTTCAACTTTCATAGCTACATTTCATGAATCTGCATCTTTATCTTGGAGTGCCCCGTTGTAGGTTCTTGGGTCTGATTTTAGGTCTCCTGGAACTGAGTTCGATGACTCTCCACGATCTATCGATCGGTCGGGTAAATGAGAAACCCTCCCACTACGACGAGGTATTGTCTGTACTGGTACACTCTCAGTATGTCGTGTTGCAGTATTATGTGATGTATCTACTTGTGCACTCGGTGGGGAACTATCGACTTCACTCTTCAACTCCTCTAAGACAAGTCCACTCGCGGGCTTGTGATACATAATACAGTCTTCTTCCAATAATCTTGTGTTCGCACTAAAGATAACCTTCTGATCCTCGAGACTATAAAATAATCCAACTTTCGTTCCTTTGGGATAGCCAACGAACACTCTTGCTTCTGAATGTTTCTTCAACTTGTCAGATTCCTGCACTAACACGTGTTTAGGGTTACCCCATACTCAAAACCGTGAGAAACCCAATGCGCCCTTTCCACATCTCATAATGAGTAGTCTCAACTGACTTTGAAGGAACCATGTTTAGAATATACGACTCTGTCTCTAACGTCATACCCCAGAACAAATCTGGTAACTTCGAATAATTCATCATTGACCTAACCATCTCCATAATAGTCCTATTTGTTCGCTCTTCAACTATGTTATGTTGGGGCGTGTCGGGTGCACTTAATTAGGATTCAATCCCAGCTTCCGATAAGTATGTCATGAACTCTCCAAAGAGGTATTCGCCACCTTGATCAAATCGAAGCGACTTGATACTTTTACCAAGAAGCTTCTCCACAACTACCTGATACTCCTTGAATTTCTAAAAAGCATTCGGACTTGAGGTGCAACAGATATGTACCCAGATCTCGAGTAATCATCAATGAATGTGACAAAATACTCGTAACCACCTCTAGCCTGGATTGACATAGGACCACAAAAATCAGAAAGAATCAATCCTA